CCTGTTTGAAAGCTTTTAACAGCTTTCTGTTATTGTCAAATAAACTCTATCTGCTTTAAGCTGGAATTCTTGCTTCTCTAAAAACTGACTTGTTTATCCCTTCAAACTTATTACTGCTTTATTTAATATGTCACATATGCCTATCAAATGGAATATCTCACTGTTTCTTTACCTGTTTATATACTCTAGGCCAAAGTGTGACAATAAGACACTGCAAAATCTTTCTAAAATTGATGAATATTTATTTCTCACAAACTATATGTAGTACTTTCATCCCGGCAGAAATTTCTTTGTTTACTGCAGCCACTTTAAGAGCCAGGGTATGGGCCCATCCGTGCTCTTCACTGTCGCTGTTTAGAGAGCATGTTAAAGAATTCTCCACTAACAGATGCTATAGCATGGGAATGACATATATCACTTTAACTGACAGCTTACTGACCTGAATTAATCACGTTTCTAATTGATCTTAAGGCATAGTCAAAAATTCAAACAAAGCATGTGAAATAAAAAAGACTCTTGGTACTGCTGGATGACACAAATGGCCAATCTTATCCTTATATCTGTTTCTAGCATTTTCTTCTGAAGACTAATGCTCATAAGATTAAAAAGCTTTTCATTATCTGTTTGCCTTGCATGTGTTGTCTATTATAACTCCCAGTTTAGCTCACATTTCTTCAATGAGTTCATTGTGGGGTTTTTCAGACATACATTCTTTCTCTGCTCAATTTTACTATAGTCCTTACTGCTGAAATAATTATTTATGGCATGGTATTTCAATCTAACAGACTAAATCATATGCTTTATTCACCATTGAACACATGATCATTAGCAATGAACACATGAAATCATAAATCCAGTTAGTGTATTGTGATCCCTTATAGTTCTGTTATTGGCAGGGAGGAGGAAGGACTAGTGTCTATTACTTATTTATGAGGAGAATATTTTATTATTCTCACTATGTGTAAGGTTGGATTCTACACACACGTATAAAATGGTTTCTACATATATGGTATATGTATATTTATATATCTTATGTATATACATATAGTTAGCATATCTTAGCTTGTATGGTACAAATATAGAGTAAATTAATTATGAATCTGCTTTATTCTCACTCTGAAATTTTTGGCATTGCTATTATAACTTTTTAACTCTTCTTTTTCTTTTGACAAATGGTTTATTTTACCATGGCCCTTGTATAGCAATAAGATATATAGGCTAGGGGTGTTTTATAAGCAAAATATTTTATAGACTACCTATGAAAATCTGAGCAGAAAAGATAAAACAGGGATGTTCAGTTGCTTTACCTTTCTTATTCCCTTTTTAAAGTGTTATTGAACATGTTGCCTGCTTATGTTATTGTAGTAAGATCTAATGTTGGATTGGGAGTCTTGGGAGAAACATAACACCTGAAACAATCCATTCATTCTACTAACATTGTTTCTTATGCCAATGCAGTTCAAATGTATAACAGTTCTTTCAATAACCAAGGTTGGAATCAATATTTCTCCAACAGTACACCTGGTCTGGGTTGATTAGGTTCTCATTCACAGTTCAATGTTATATTCTTTCAAAAGCCTACTTCATTTCCTAGATATTTCAACAGTGTTTGGAAGAGAGCAAAGAACTCAGTAAAGTTTGTACAGGGATTTTTCAAAAATGTGTGAAGGTTTTAATTCTCCAAGAAAAGCAAAAATAAAGAAAATTGTTCATATTAACTAGTATGAAAAATGATACAGCAAACATAGGTATCTATGAGTAAATCATTGTTTCTGGAGCTTAAATTATTTGAAAAAAATTACATGAAAAGAAATTAACAGTTGTGCAGGAACCCAGTTTTGAATGGCTATATGCCAACCAGGAACTACTAAAGCATGTGAAAGACTGAAATAAATGGGCCTGATTTATTCTACAGCGTTGAAACTCTTGTTGTATTATGGAAAAAGAATTTGATTATGAAAGCAAGGGAACTTAAAAGGTATCTTTAACATTTAAGAAATATTCCAGGGTGATAAGGTGAAAGGAGATTAGAGAGGAAAAAAGCATACCGAATTTAAAAGAGGAAATATATAATGATGTCTGCTTAAGTAAGCAGGGAAGCTTCTTGGGATGGGCTGAATTAGTAAAACTAAGATCTAATTATTTCACCAAAGGGGTCTTAATATTTAGTATAAAGAAAAAGAGTAGATGTTGAAAAGATGATTCAAGTACAATGACAAGATTTGAGGGAATGGGAGTGGGGAATGAAAGAAGCGACATATAACATTTTGAGAACAGTTTTGAAGTAAAAGTTTAAGAGTGTAAATATTTAGAAGACTCTGTTTGCAGATCTATATTGCTCAAATGCAGAGCCAAATAGGTGAATAAATGATAACTGTTAAATCCAAGTTGAATGAAATATGATAAAAAAAAATACGTGCAAAAGAGCTGATACTATTTGAGTGAATTAACTGAGGCAATTGAAGAGGAGGATGGATTCATGAGATGTTCTAAGGACTGTATCATGTACAAGAGAAGGTATAGAGAAAGGCTCCAAGAGGCAGAAGAATATGCTCAAAGAGGGTCTAAATTTTTCATGTCCAGGGTGAGCTTTGTTTTCTGGGAATGTCAGGAAGTTGAAAAGCGACATGGCATAAGGAATGGTGGAAAACTCACTGGTACTGAAATGGTCGGTGGTGGCTATGGAGGCCTACCAGGGAAATCATTCAAAGGACAACAGCGTTCAAGATGATGATAAATATTCAAGCAGGAGGACATGTGTATGATCTAAGATCTGCTACTGCTTATGGGAGCTATCACCTAGAGGCCAACTGTGCCAAATGAAAGGAGAGATATGTATTGTGAGATTCATTTGCTACTGCTGATTCTGGCAAGTATCATTTGTATAATTAGTTTTAAACTTGTGATACTTTTGCTTCTGTCTCCTAAGTGATGGTCTTACCAGCATACATGGCAGTCCCATGGATTTCTATAGAAAATACATGAGTAGATCAATTTACAAAGAAGAAAGATTTATTAGCCCTTATAAATTGAGGCCATAGTACCTCAAATCTGTGAATTGGAACCTGTGATTGCAGAATAATATGATGTGGAGTATGTAAAAAGACAAATCTATTTATCATATAGGATTGGGAATCAGCGACAAGGGACAGGGAGAGCTGAAAAAGCTGTAACACAAGTAGAGGTATTGGGGAAAAGTGTGATCTAAATTAGATCAAGATCTGGAAGGGCCCTTTTGTGTCTTGTAATGATGATTGAGGAATTGGAATTTGTGACCTGAGATTAAAAGGAAGGAGATGAAAGAAGAAAAAGACAGATACTTCCTTGCTTCCTTTTGTGATGCTTTGAATAGTTTTTGTCCTCAAAATTATTGCATTATTCATTTTTCAATGGCTTAAAGCACTAACTAATACAATGTTGGTTGAGAATTGGAGTTTGGAAGAAGCTGGCCCTTGGCATCATGTCATTGTAAGGTTTGTCCTGTCTGTGTGTTCTCTCCAGACTGCCATGAGACATCAAATTGCCCTTGTCTCCAAAAGGTGACCAATAGTAAACTGTTCTTTTTTAAGTTCTTTGTCTCAGGTATTTCATCATGGTGACTAAAACCTCTGTACATCAGACAAACTATGGCACTATACTCAATTTCATACATGTTTAAATTACTTTAAAATAGTCCAAATAATGTGGTTCCTAGATTTTTGATGGGACGACAAGAAAGTCAATGGTGGCAATATGAGGTAGAGTGAGAATGTGTTCAATGTGCAATGTACAGCAATAAAAATAATTTGATGCCAAAGCAAGCCCAATTTAAGGCTTTAGAATCTGAATGCTTTATATATGCTATGCCATTGTATTTCAGTCTGATAATAAGAGGTAAGAAAATTCTCAACTTATAAAAGACCCCAAAATTATTTTCGTATTTGGAGTTCTTTGATAAGACTGCCAGTGGGGTGATATCATCTTGGTGGGCAAGTTCTCACCCTCAACTCTCCATGTCTTCCAGAAAAATCACATATGACTTTCTACTGGTGGATGACAGGAAGGAAGGGAACTTGGTGAGAGAAATTATTCCTTCTGTCTACATACCACCACAGCCTGAAGTGTGCTTCTGAACCTTGGGGTCTTCCTATATGTCCTTACAGTTTCATAGCACATGACTGATAGAACAGAGAGTTTGAGACATTTTTGCCTGAGTGCTGGTTGTAATCCTAGAATTGGGAGAAATGAATGTTGTTAACTCATCTTAAATTTCTAAAGTTTAGAGCCCAGTAATTTTGGGACTAGAGCCTACTTTTAGGTAGAAAACATTATTTGAAATTGGTTGAAACTTAATACTAACTAGCATGGTAAATATGAACATCAGAATTTATTTGGCCAAGAAACGAGAATGGTATCTGAGAAAGAGCAATGTCTTCATTCTAGATTTCACTTAAAGAAAATTTAGGAGAAAAATATTGTCATTATCATTGCATCATTATATATTATAACTAAATTGATGTTGTATTATTTATATATAAACTTATATTTATAATCATCATTTGAACAATCAATTTATGTCAGCATTTGGGAAAATTGTTACTTTGGGGAAGGGATGACACTCTTTTAAAGAAGGAATTTTGAGTACTTGTTTATTGTGTAAATTTAAAGCTCAAAGGGAAGTTTTAAGATAATTCACGAATTTACTTCCACTCATACATAAATTTAGATTAAGTAAACAATTGGAGTTTTGTTAAAAATGTTCGTCAGTTTATCAGAAAGTATACTTTTTTCTAACTTCTAACATGTGTGATTTGAGTATATTTGGCACTAAATATTTTATCTAGATCCATGACATCATTATAGAGATGTATGGGTTGAAGCTTGTAAACACACTTACATGTATGTGTTGCCTCTATGATTGGGTGAATTGTTAATGTGTACTTGTAGCATTTAAATGTATATTCAGAGAGAACATAATAATGGTAGTTCCTGATCTCTTTAAAATAAGAAGAAATACAAACCTTGTAGTTACCAGGAGTTCCAATTCCATTCTGAGGCTGTGATGGATGTTTTTTTAGATCTGAAACACATATTCCACAAAAAGCAATCCATTCAGTCATAAAGGATGGATAAAGGAAGCCTGTATTCTGACAATAGTCACCAAGTTATTCCTATTGACAGGTGAGGGCTTACAAAGCTTATGCTTCTTAGGGAGAGTCAGATGTAACTGGAACAAGGTGAAAAGCCACAGTTCAAGGTCAGGAGGTGACCTGGGGCTTTATTGTGTTACATGTTTATTTGCTCACTTGACCTCAAATTAAAGCACATAAACCATAATAATACAACAAAATACTGATTATTTAACCAAATCCATATTACTTAAAATTGCACAATTCCTACCAGTTTGTAGATTTCTTTTGATAAAATAGCATGAATTCATAAATCAAGGTCTTTGTTTTGCTTTCAATTGATACTAGAAAATGTGCTTGGATTGTGATTGTCTTTTAAACTCCTGAAGTAATATTTTTCTGCATTTAATATAGATTTTTAAAGTTAAGTTGAATTTACAATAACGAAAAATTCTTGTTTCTTTTTTTCTTCAAGAAAATATGTGACTAGGTCAACATGAAAGTTTCTGTCACATTTTTTTTTGAAAGTTGTAATCCTTTGTCAGTCATTCACTATTCTTCCTAAGAATAGAATACTAATAATTTCTGCCTGCAGAGAATCATGAAGACTTGGTAGTAAATGAAAATGAACTATGAAAAAGAACTAAATCCAACACTTTCAGCTATCTAATTATCTCAGCATAATTAACTGTTTGCTAGATTTAGTGCCCAAATCCTTTTTTTCAAACTTAAATTTCATAGTCCTTTTGATTGCACAAATATGATAGTCTATCATGTATGTGAACTACTGAGTGCACGTAAGGAATAATTAGATTCACCTGGATTTCTTTCTTTCTTTTTAACTTCATCTCCACCCCCTAAGCTTCAAATGCAAATTTAAAATATTGCTTCTCCACATACAATCACAACCGTCATTATTTCTTCCTACTTACTAAATCGCAACCTTGAAAATGTGTCTAAATAAAAACAAAGAAATCACACATTTGAAGATAATTAATGCTTTTGGTTGAAAAAGATGTATCTGTTCTCAAGACATGTTTCCATGTCCACAGCAATCAGCGTTAATCACTTAGGTACCTTCAAATTCTCCATCAGATTTCACAGTTTTCTCACAGAAGTAATAGTTTGTAATTCATTAATTTTTTCAAAGTTCCAGGAAGGAGGGGAGCAAGTCACCCAGCGAGCTTTCTTCTTGACCACTAATGCAGGCATGTGAGAAGCCGGAGAAATGGCCAGTGAATGGGGAAATGCAAATATTCTTCACCCCCATTGCTGTTTTGACACAGCAATTAGATTTGTGCAGAACAGCAAGATTGTTCCAATTCTATTCTCCCAAACATAAGTCTTAAAAAAAGAGGTTACATTTGTGACTGTAGCTCGTGGAGCATCCAATCTGGCATCCTGAAAATCCATATGTAAGCCACACTTATATCTTAAACCTGTCAAACAAATAAATGTACAGAAGCAGTAATTTATGTACTTTATAGACTGTTTTGCCCTTTTAGAGCAAAAGCCTAATTTTCAAGTGTTGCTATTTTAACTTCTGGCAGTGCCTGGGAGATAACTGAGGTTCAAAATGTGAATTTTACAAGTAAAATGTGATTCAAAATTGATTTACCCTGTTCTCACTACATGTGAGACAGAGAGGAGAAATGCTGGGTGCCTGTGAGCTTTAGGCAAGGGGAAACATATTGCTAAGTACAGAAGCCGCGCAAAACTTTGCGGGTTTTCAGTTTAGACGTGAACTTGAGCCTTTCTCAGTTCAAGTTCTGTTTAGGGCCGGCAAAACATGACTTTCTGATTCAAAGAAAAGGCTTAAAAAGGCTTATAAAACAGACTTGCAGGCTTCTTGTGCATCAAATAGCTCTTACACAATGGCATTTAGATGATTTAAGTGTAAATGAATCAAAGACATATGGATTGCATTTCCCTTGAAATACGCATGGGCTTTAAAATGAGGGGAAAACACACTTGCCAAAATCTTTTTGGGTTGTGCTGCATCAAAAACATTTGGAAAATGACTTTAAATGTTTGGAAGAACCCCAGACATTGGGTTCAGCCACCCCTGGAGATTAAATCAGTGTCCTTCATCCAATAATAACTAGGGCTCTGTTTTGCAAAGACATTTCATAAAAAAATGTCAAGTTCCAACCCTGACACTCCTGAAAACCAAATTTCTCGATACTTGAATTGCTAATTCAATGCTATGGTCTTATTATGGAGGCTTCCCTGGAGACCGGGAATCCATTTTGTGTTAGTCAAACTACCAGAAGCATATTTCAGTTTTTGCCCATTTTTTTCAAGTGTGGTTACAAATTTGAGCTCCCTCTGTCCTGGAGGTAAGTATTAATGCTTCTAGGAAGCCAAAGGGAATTGAGGTTTCAAGCTGAATTAAAGGACTGAATGATCAGGAGATAAAAATGGGAAACTTGTTTGTTATAAATGTATTCAGGCAGGACTCTGACATCATATGACTGTCAGCATAATTAAAAATTAAATGAAACAAAGGAAAAGAGGGAGTTAAAAAAAAAGAAGAAGAATTAAGAAAGAAAGCAGGGTGGTAAGATGTTCCTAGAAGTGAAAAAGATTTTGGATGAAATGCAGAGACAAGTTAGCAGAAGCAAGTGGTTCTTGAATGTAGTTAAATACCGGTGGGGACTAAAAGCAAACTGCATGAAATCTAAGTAGACCGGTACTCAGGAAGATACTCTGCTGAATAAATGAAACAGCCTTGGCATAGGAGATTGACAAGGTATTGAAATGGACTCGAAAGAGGAAATGCGCTGTTAAAAGAAACCATGTTAGAAGACAAAACTAGGAAAAGAGTAGAAGCACAGGTAATACCAAAAACTGAGAGAAAAGCTACAAAGACCAAGAAAAGCGCAGGAATACCATACGGAATATGTGAGGGGTTGTTATTTAAGTCTGTGTTGCTGACTGGCTTCCATTAAAAAGTTCTGATTCTGCATGCAGCTCCGATGTGGAGAGGAAACAGCTTTCAAAATTGTTTAATGACCTCCTGATAGGAAGGTTAACAGGATTATCATGCAGTTCACTGGAGGATGGACAGAGGCTCTCAGCAGGCTGCCTAGCCACTGTGCAATTCCAATATTCTCCTTTACAGAGAACTGTAAAATCATCGTGCCACTCAAAGGCATTAGTTAGAACGTTGGGATGCTTTTAATGAGGGAAGTTCAACATAAAAAAGAAATGAGGATGGAGAGAAATGGGCACTAAAACCCAGGCTCCTTTAGCTTCCTTCTGCCCTAGTAACTGTGGGGGTGTCTGGCTGTGGCAGGCTGATTCCTCCTTTGCTTTTGCTCTGGTCCTGTCTCACTTCCCACTGGGCTGCTGACAGCCTAGGTAACCAGGAAGTCCTGTGTGGGAGGCAGGTTACTGTTCCTCTGTTGTGCTCCCCAAGTACTTTCGTATTAAAGCAGAATACTTTCCACATTCTCTTCTGAGATGTAGCTCTCTTAAGCAACAGTTTTGTATTGTCAGTACCCCGTGGAGAGTTTAATGGCAAGTGTCTTTGTAAATTACCCTGCCCCAAGATTTACTGGCATTAGCACCAGCTGGACATGGGAAAGAGCTATGGGAAAGGGACAGCGGGGCGGTGGTCAGAGGACCCTCTGTTTAATGCTTATCAGTTGGCATCAAATGAGCACAAATGTTTCTATTTGATGACTGGTCACTTCAGTTCTCACATTCCCCAAATCATGAAACACCTTACTAGTAGATAATTGATACCAGTTTATATGAAGGAAAAGCTCTAAACTCTTGGTGACTTTACTCTTTAAAGATTTGTCTCCTGGTTATATCACCGTTGGTATGATAGGCCGATTCCATGTTGAAATCTCAGTTCTACCATTTTGAAGTCGAATCTTCTAGGACCTCCTTTGAGGTCCTTCCGTGGATTGTTGTCTATACGGTTGTTAAGCAAAGTAAAAATGATAGTGTAATGAGTGTTGTGTTCAGGAGTAGAAGTGATGTGTAATTCCTACGATCCGGACAAAATCATAACTACAAAGCATGCTGGGAAATGTAGTCTTCACGGGTGGAACTATGGTTAAGCAGTTAGTCATCTGCCACATTCATCAAGAGATTTTTCACCTCTAATGTGGATTAACCCTTAGATGGTCTTCCTTTCCTGCCTTTTCCGTGTGTTTGGATGTGACTAAATTCACAAACATTGCTTAATTAGGAAACTGAGACTGAATTTTGAGTATACATAGCTAATAGATGAGAGTATTGGGATTTAACACCAAGTTTTCTGAATTTTAAGTTACATTCTCTCTTCAAATTTATTCTTTGAGAATGGCACCAGAAAAAAAAATCAGGTTAGGGGGAGACTAACTCCTTTTCCCTGCATCATTGGAGACGCCAGAAATAACAGAATTTCAATGGCATCAAACTCTTGGTTCAGAAGATTCTGCACTTAAACTGATAAAATATTTTTCCCGGGGCTATAGAGGAAAGCCCAAGTTGACAGTCTCACAGTACGGAGAGAAGGAACACAGAATATTCTTTCCAATTGTATATATGGCTTGTCAAATGCTCTTAGAAAATGTTTGCTTCTCTTTTGACCAGAGGGTTGAAGAATAGTCAAGGGAAGACCATTAAGAAAGATTCAAACTTTTCTATTAATAAAAAAGATCAAATAGCGTTTCTTAACAGAACCTCTTGTCAGTAACCATTAGGTAGTGAAACAAGTTTCTAAAGTGGCAAGAATATAAGAACTTACAAGATGAAGAGAATATTTCATTTTCAGCCATGTTTGCAGTACATACCAATTTTCCTAAGCTGTTTATTCAAATTAATAGAAGAATATAATTTAAAATCTTCCATTGTTCAGAGAAGTTAGAGAGAAGACTGAAGGAACTGAAGGGGTTTGCGACCCCATGGGGAGAGCAATAATACCAACCAACCAGAGCTCCCAGGGTCTAAACCACCAGCCTGGGAGCACATAGAGAGAGATCCATGGCTCCAGCTGTCTATGTAGGGAAGGATGGCCTTGCTGGGCATAGGTGAGAGAGGAGGTCCTTGGTCCCTTGAAGCCTGGATGCCCCAGTGTGGGAGAATTTCAGGGCTGAGAGGTGGGAGTGGGTGGGTGGGTGGGTGGAGGCACAGCCTCATAGAAGCAGGAGGAGGAGTGATGAGATAGAGGTTTTCTGGGTGGTGAGGGAATAGGGAAAGGGGATAACATCTGAAATGTAAATAAAATATCCAATAAATAAAATATTCCATTGTTCACATACAGAAAATCATAAAGCATCTAAAAAGTCTTATAAAATATTATTTCTTTAAATTTCCTATTTTTATTCTAATTATGTTACTTGAGGGACTATATTATCTGGATGGGGTGGTACCCTAACTACCACAGGCTCAGTAGGTTTGGTACTAGTAATTTTTTTTCTTATAGTTTGGAGGATACAGGCCTGAATTCAGTTTGTTGGGTTCTGATGAGGACTCGTTTATTGGGTTACCTCCTTGGGTTCTCCTGTAGTGAAGAGAGGGTTCTGAGATCTTATAATATCCCCAAGTTTACTAGATCAGTGTCTAACCTAATAACCTTATTCAATCTTGATCACCTCCTGAGGTACCCCAAGTCCCAATCCAGTTTCCTGGAAGCAGTAAATCACAGGAGTAGCATTACTAGTTATATCAAGTAATTCTTCAGAGCTATCATAATTAAAATGAACAGGTAGATAATTCTAGTTTGGTTTTTATGCATTTAAGCTGACATATATTTAAAATAGATTCCAATTGATTTTTTCATAAAGACATGAAAATTCTCATAAAAAGGAATTCATAAATATTATAATTTTTCATTGGTACATTTTTAGAATTCATTCAGGTTTTTATTTTTAAATCTTACAAACATTTTTACAGCTGTGTGGATTTTAATTTTTCTTGCAGATAGTAGGTGTTTTTCAAACTATGTAATTTAATCATGAATAATCATATGTTTTAAAAAGGTAACAAACCAGCCTTGTAACAATGAAATTATCACTGTTTATTAACTAAGGACAGTGGTGGGACAATCTACATCTTTTTGGTAAGCCAAACATGAAGCACCACATTTCCAATTACTTCACAATGGCAAAAGTGCTGCCTGTTCCATATGGAAAGATGTCTGGTTTCGGCCTGTTTAGTTCATGTATCATAATAAAAATTACACTCAATCTTCTCATTCTCTTTGTTTCGTCCTTAACCCAGCTACCTTGTGCTATAAAAAGGGAGCTAAGACAGGATATCTGTAGGTGTTGCATTGTTTGTTTCACTGTGCCCATAGAACCATCCCTAGGGGAAATGTTGACCTTGGAGAAATCATGTGTGCTTTTTATCCATGTATTCTGGTATTGTCATGAAACAGAAAGGATACTCAACTGAGCAGTGGTTACTCGGGAAGGAAACAAGAAGTCACAAGTGGGTCAAGTGCAAATTACGTGTCATGCAAGAAGGCATAGCTGGACCAAGAAAGCTTTAGTTTATATGAACCAGAAAATAAACAGTTTTTACAGTTGATAGCAAGCTCTTGGTAGAGTATACAGTTTGACAAACAAAACGAAGGCCGAGTTTCAGCTTCCATTTTGTCTTTCTAATTTCACAACTACTTACAATGATCTTGGGCAGGCCTCTGTTGGGGAGAACATCCAAAACATTTATGAGTAGCCAACTTGTAAAAGTTTCCTATTGAATAAAACAAATGATAATCTCAAAAATAGAACACAAATCAATGTTATTTAGCCAATTTTCAAATCTGTCTAAGTAAATTTGCATTGGGGCATTATACATTTTTATGTGAAAGAGAATTATGTATTCCCTTTCTGAAGTGAGACCAACAAGTCTTTGTGCAATGGCTCCAGAAAAAAGATAAGTATTATATCAAGCCCGAAGCTAAGATCATGCATGCTGCCCTCTTTGTGCCAATAGATGCCTTCCACCTTGGTGAGGGCTGTTGTAATGTATGTCCAAAGGAAACCACAATGATTTTTCTCTTCAGATCCAAGACCAGCCACCTGATTTGCAGAAAGGCACCTGGGGCCTGACACCGTAGGAAACTCAATTTACCCTTCTCAGAAGCTGCTACCTAAGGATGAAATTACCCTTGTTGAAAGGGTAATTCTACAAAATTCATAGCCTCTGTTGATACAGTGTCAGTATCTGGCACCAGTCTGAGCAGGAGGCTCTGTTAGCCAAGGAACCAGGCATCCACCTCTCTGTTCCTCTTGCTGTAGTCAAGGCAGCTACAGCCACATTTAAGCTTATTCTGGAGGAATTTGAAAATCTTTTACTTTGTCTTTAGATAATCTCATTTTAACCATTCCAGAAGAGGCAAGCAAGCTATACAGACAGCTATAAGAGGAAAACACAGCAATCTTGCATAGGAATTGTTACACAATAGTGGGCTCTGATAGTTTTTAAGTTGATGGTGAGGATGGCTAGACATTTTTAGAATGTTTTCATTTAGAATAATTTTATTCAAAAAGCATGTTTAAATACTGACTAGGTCTCAAGCCCTGTGCTAAATGATACTATTATAATATATATGTATAATATACTATATTATATAAACGATATTGAACACATTCAGATGTGCTCTGGATGTTCCTTGGATTTATCTGCGAATGCAGAAAAGATGGTCAGGTTAAAGAGGTCCCTGAAGGTAATTTATAGTCAAGGATTCTCTGGCAGCAAGAGACTTTTAAGTTGGAAGCACCTTTGTCATCTTCAACTTCCACTAACTCTATTCCTGTAGTTAAATTATTTCTTCCCATACATTTAATCTACTATTTTTGGCTAGATCTCTCTAATGCTAAGGAATATAAAATCTAAATCTTGTTTTAATACTTCATTCCATTTCTTACTAGTAGTAATAGTAAGAGCAGGAATGTGTTGCTGGGGACATGTTTGCCAAGAGGTCAGTTGTACTTCTTTGGTTGGAATTGAAAGCTTATTACTCACTATTTAACTTTGCTCCTAGCCTAGACATGTACTCAGTACATAGGTACCTATGTAGTAGGTACTATCCAATACAATATCTACATGAGAAAATGTTTATTTGGAGTTACTCACTCAAGAAATTATGGGAAAATAAAAATTATGACTTATTAGAAATAGACAGTTCCATTTTGGTCGTTTCCTATAATGTCTCAGATCCATTCTATAAAGTAAGGAATTGGAGCTAAGATTCATCCCCATGATGGGGAGGATCAATCCAAGTCTGGATTTGACAGTCTCCATAACTGTAACCAGGATAATGTTGACACCATGTTTCTCCTTCTATGAATTTGGGCATTTGTAGCATTTGCTTCCTGGAGTTACTGGGAAAATGGGTGGGATCATACAAAGCATTTCACGTCTAGCATATAGTGTGTGCTGAGTGTTGGGGTGACAGATGCATGAGGAGAGTTGTTATTGGAGGGCAGTTCTCAGCTTTACGTGCAGGTTTTAAAGTCTATCAGAGGCACAGTCACACCGCCCTTGTGAAATCTAAAGAAAAACAAAAAAGAAGAAAGAAAAAGAAAAAGCTGTCTTTTTTAGAGTCTCCTTTAGCCATTTTGGACGGGTATGTGTGGCCCTAAGTCTGGCAGGGATTGAGATGAGCAGAGCTGTTCACAGCAAATCTGTGATGAGGATCTTCTGTCTTCTAAGCTGTGGGCGGTTCCTTCTTTGGGAAACAAGTTATAATCAGATCTTGGAACAAGCTACTCTCCAAACAATGCTCTCATTGCTTCTCCTGCCATTTAATTAATGCCAGTCTAGTTTTGGAGCAAGTATAGAAATATGATTTATTCATATTTGCACCTATATTTGCCATGAGGCTTGCCATGAGGTATATAATCATGCAAATTATATCCTTCTGATAAAAGCATTGGCCTGAATTCCTAACCTTATTGTGATAGCCCCATTTCAGGGAAACAGCAAACCCTTGGGTAAGATAGCACTTATCCTAACCTTTATGTTATTATTAAGGACCACCAAGGCTTGAACCACCTGTCTAGTCAAGATTGTATTTTGCTAGAGGACTTAGGTGTATTTTTCAGATAACATTCAAGGGCTATTTCCTAGTACTCTTTCTCATGCTTATCAATTTAATTAAAGAAACTGTGTGACCTATAGGCTACCACTCGAGAGTTATGCCAACATGTGCTGAACATTCTGCTTTTGTTTTTGTTTGTAAAATGAAATCAGAGCATGATTTAAATGTACTCAAGTCCTGAGGGAGTGGCCTTACAGGACCATTCGGATGCAGTAGGAAGGATCTGTTTTCAGACATCATTTATGGTATGTCTGTAAACATGTGTGTCAACAAGCAGATTTTATTAGTAGAAACTTTGAAGAAAAAAGCCTGTTCTTTTCTTTTACCAAAGATAGGCCTAAAAAAATACAAGAAAATTAGCATTGTCAAGGCACACGACTACAATCCTAAGCAGGAGGTTGAAAATTCGTTTTTTGCTTCAGTCCTTTATCTGATTTAATAAACAATAGCAGTACATTGTTTTCAAAGCACTTTTTTGATCCCTTTGCAACAGTGCTACTACAAGAGCCCAGGCTGCAGAATATTCCTATTTTCCCATTTGCTATCACAAAGGCTTCCCAGGTCAGCTAGAATCCTATTTATAAGGGCAGAGACACAGAAAACCTCCATCTCTAAACCCCAACTTCTTACTAAAAAGTGAGTACAGTGCAGATATTCAGCTTTATTTTCTTGAAAGATTCTATGGAAATTACAGAATCTTAGACATTAAAATCCAAAATTATACCTTTAACATATTTAACCCAAGCATTTCTGTTGAAATTTCCTGAAAATTTCAGATAGATTTCTGTTTTTACCCATGCTTTCCTTCTCTTCCAAATTTTAACACTAAATGGTACCTAAAATTTGATACTCAGTAGGAATACAATGATAATTGCAGGACCATGAGTTGATGGGTACACCTTGGGCTAAAATTTCTCTTTAAGAATAATTATTGAATGGCTGTGAATAGACTTGTGGTTTTTCCCCCATGATGTTACCATGTTACATAAGGTGGAAGGCCTCTTTGATTTGTCTTCACTATTTTACCACAGTTTTCCCCCAGAAGACATGGCTTTAAATGTTTCTCAAGTCTCTTATTTAACGAACTTATATTCATAGTTAAAATCAGGATATATACAGTTTTAAAAATAACATTTTATTTTTAATTTTAAACAATCATCTAAATAGTCAAGGTAGGTGTCCCAGTAGTTGTCTGTGCTGACATGGAGACACGATAAGTCAAATGGCTTGCCCATAGTTATATAATCATAGCCACAGCAGGGGTTCAGGTCTCCTGGCCACTATGCACAAGGCACTCTTTACTACCCTGCACAAAAGTAAACTGTTGAATTAGACCTAGCTCTAAGTAGGCGGCTGGCCGAAGTGATGAGGCAGCTAGAGGGAGCAAAGGACCCACACGCTCTGCAGTTTATTACGGCATTCCTGGACATCATGCTCCCTGGACACACTCTGGAATTAGTCTGAAGTTATAATGGTGATTTCAAGCATGCTGGAATATAGCATCGGAGACCTGGGGAGGTCCAAGTAGTGGACTGGAATAGCTGCAGCTATTAAATATCTAGGTCATCCTTTATATAGGGTTGTAATTTATACTCTAGCTTCTGATTTCCGTGCTGACAGAAGGAAAAAAAAATCCATCCTGCTAGAATGTAGTCAGATGGCAGTTTGTCTTTCCAAAACATTATTAGGTATTATTACAGAACGTGAACACCTTTCATTCCTGACAAACAGGAAATGCATGCTGAACCACTGGTATGTCAATCAGAGTGATAGCATCAATTTTATGGTTTTTAATTCATCCCCACCTCCTGTGGAGCCTTTTGCTCATCCTAAATTATGAATCTTAAAAGGTACATGATTAAGAAGAAAAAAATACCTCTGCTTGTGTGAACTCCTGTGAGAAGAGCTGGGAGGTAGATATTTCAGAGATTTGAAAGCATTCCCTAGCTGCTCAAAGACAAGTGCCTTTCCTGTAGCCAGGATTACCTCACTCTGCCTTCTCTGTGATCTTTTGCTAGCAACTTAAGTATATATTTATATTACCATTTTTCTATATTAAAAAATAATTAAACAAAACATAAGTAATGTAATAAATGCTACATTTGTCAGTTCAAGAAGCTTTTGAAATCTGTTTCAATTTATGTTTTTTATGACTATTTCTTGAACTTGGATATTTTTTTGCTTTTTGATATACTAAATGATGAGAATTTAGGAATTAATTGCAGTAATAGTTCATAGAATCTTTTTTCTACTTCCTTTTATTCTTTTCTTTAAAGTGTAATAATTGAGAACATTGTCAATTCAGCATGAAATGAAGCTTCGCAAAAATAAATAGAGTACACACACACACACACACAAAACTTCACAACAGGGGATTCAGGAACCTGGGGTGTCTGAATCTGTCCTCTCCTTTTCCTCTCTTGTTTCTGGTGAGGAGCCATTTTTCTTGTTTTTCTTATGTTGCTCCACCTGGTCTCCATTTGTTGCCATGAACTCTGCAAATACAACCCACTTTTATAAGATCTGGGAGTGTGACCTGATCATCCCTTGTTGGAAGGTGAAGCAATAATTGGCAGTCAGTGGAGGTCAAATTTCCCTCCTGGTGCTGACTACAAACTGAAGGCTACATGGTTGGCAGACAAGACTCTATTTGCTGATAGTACATGGTGAGCTATTTTGGGCTCTTTTATAAGAACTCTCACTATACAGTGGCCTTCATGTTCAAATCACACTTGGTCATTTCTACCCAGGTTTTCACAGTTTTGATGCTTGGTGTCTCAGCATGAGTACATGGAGCTTTCAAGAAACCATTCGCTTGCACAGAATTTCTCACTCTGTATTTACTACAACTTCTTTATGATTCAGTATTGAACTATGCTGGTTCTCATGCAAGAAAGAAAAGAGAAAATAACCAAGAATTCAGCATTTCCTGGTGGGTCCCAGCATAAAACACCAGTGTCAAAGAGTGATAATAAACAGGCACGCACAACTCTTTAATGCACTAGGACTTTCCTTCTATGGAGGAAATGCTCCAAAGTAAAGTCTTTTCCAATGAGGAAGCAATAAAGGATTTTGGACTTGTCAGAGGAGCTTCATGAAAGGGTTCTTCCTCACCCATCTTTGTGTTTGTGGTGTTACCACATCCAAAGTGTATGTATCCTCTCTTATCATCCTGAACTCTTTTGTTAGTTTTACCACAGTGCCCTAGCATATAAAACCAAAAACTTAGAAAGTTGAACTTGCCTTATCTTCACGTAGATGGTGCTGGTAGAAGCCAATTTTGAACCTGATTTGTGTCTCCAAACCTATGGTTCTTTGACATATTCCTCCATATTATTAGAACCACTTATTTGACTCCCGTTTAATTTGAATTTCTATCTAGCATATTTGATTATGAGTTCCTTAAAGAAATAAACGTATTTATTTAATAGGGACTTCAACATGGTGTATTCTAACTGAGTAATTTTGATAATGGAATTAACCTGCTTTCCTCATTCAGTTCTCCTTTATATGCAATTTAAGAATATGAATGTTTATAATTATTTCAGACTTATCACAAACAATGGGAACACTAGTTTATTATTATAGGTAAAATGTTAATGTTCTCTCAAAACTCAAGTTTTGAACCCTCAACCTCTGATATAACTGAATTTGAGATGGGGACTTTAAGGAATTGATTAAGTTAATAAGGTCCCAAAAAGTATTGATTTGATAGAGTAGTACCTTTGTAAAATGTAACATCATAGAAGAAGAAAGGGGTTTTGCCCAGTAAGTAAAATCATGCAAGGGTAAAGAGAAGACAAACTTTTACAAAACAAAATTTTTGGTTGAAACTAAATATTTATAGTCAAGAAACATGAAATTAAAATGATTCTTCAAATATATGGATTTTTATTGCTAAAACAGAAATCATGTTGTTTGTTTCTTAAGTTCTGTCTTTTACTTCTGTAAGCCAGAAATGCCACCCTCACCTAATACAGTATTATGTGGAATCTTGAGGATGGATTCTTAAGCCTCTAGATCTGTAAGAAAATATGTTTTCTGTTTTATCTGCACATTCTAAGGTGTTTTGTTACAACAATTTTGACAAGTAAATACCCTAAATATGTACATTTGGAGTATGTATATGTGTACTTAGTACTTTTGAGAAAAAATCTCAAAGTTATTATATCAGGGTGGTCAAGACACTGTCAACATAAAACAGCAAAATAAAAGTTGATTGAATAGAATATAGAGTCTATAATTTCAAGTAGTTGTAACTGTGTCTGTATACATAGACTCAAAACAGGTGTCTTGAAGAATAGACAGCAACTTTCTTGCAAGTATGGTAGAAATACATGACCCTTCCCAAGAGAGAGCAGTGGTATGAAAAATGGGATAGAACCTGGATTCTGGAGATTCTTCCAAACTGATGAAATGAAGTCAGGGCCCATGTGGAGGGTCTGTGAAGACAAGGTTGGAAAAATAAGAGCCAGTCCATTAAAACACTCTGCATTCTAAGCTTATAAATTAGACTTCTATCTAGAAGTAACATGGAGGACATAAAAGAAATTTGGGGCTAGAGAGATTGGTCAGTAATTAAGAGCAGTGTTGCAGTTTGGATCGTAGCACCATTCTCAGGCAGTTGACTATCACCTATGACTCAAGCTTTAGGGAATCCAGTGCCCTTTGATGAACTCCAAAGAGATAGCACTCAACTTGCACAGTCTTCCTGTCTCTGTCTCTGTCTCTGTCTCTGTCTCTCCGTCTCTTTCTCTCTCTCTCTCTCACACACATACACATAAAACTAAAATGTTTTTGTAAACAACATTTTATTTGTATAGTTACAGAATCTGATTTACAATTTTGAAGTTTAGTTTAGGTGCATTGGCGATTATACAGCCACAGATGCAGGCCTTCCAGTGGTATTTTAATAATGCCAGACCATAAATATCTTATAAATGGTAACTGAACACTACCTTTACTGTTACTATCTTACCTAAGAGATTCAGCTCAAAATCCACCTACTTAAGTGTTGAATTAAGCCTCTTTTCTTCATTATAGTACTTATTATCATTTCTAAAAACAGATAAATAAGTACTCCCTCTCTATCCATGTTTTGTGTGTTGATTTTACATCACATAAGTGGTACCCACAGTCTGGATATTGTTAAACTTAGAGTGACCTCACATGGGTAAGCTAGTGGCCTGGTGGCAACAATAATATTGCCTCCTATTTCTTGACACTTTTCTTGAGGTCTTTCATTTTGCCATGCTTTTAGCTAAACCTACTTGAATTTCCTTAGATTAATGTTTCAGAGGGCAGTGAACGGAACACGTAAGTATATTATCTGGCTAGTTATGAATTCCAATGTGAATGCAGTGTGATTACTAGCATGGACAAAGTCATCCTTTTCTGGCCAAGAGGTTTTACATTGAAAGTGAGCAAACAATGGAAGAAAAGCTTCTGTTTATGCAATATGCACTGGTTTTAGATTTTTGTTATGTGTGTGCCTAAAGTAACTTAAAACTACTCATGATCATTATCTGTAAACTCTCCTGTGGAAAATTTATGTTCAGAAAAGAGGGAGAGTTCTGTGTTATAATCAGTGTGCTTTTTTTCTATGATCTGTTCTTTCTTTCATGTTCAAGCAAAAGAAAATATCAGTACCCTGGAAAGACCCTTTTGTGTAACACATGGAGCCCTGAAGGGGACTTTACGATGATGTGGTTATCACGGCACCAGCAAGAGTCCTGCTTCTTGTGCACATATTATCAATCTGAGAATCTTGTTACCCTAGTTACCCCAGAATGTTTCCTTCTGACTGCATTCTTTCTATCTGTAAGTAACTCTTTTACTCAACAGGGAACCAGGGGCCAGATGGCATGCAGACATGTGCTTAAGGCTGGGCAAGTCTCATTTGTTCTCTATTTCTTGTTACTTTCTGTCACTCCATAACTAACCACACATAAGGGACGCACCCTGTGGGCTGCTTTGTGCTGTATATATCTGACATATGATTATATCAATGTGTTTTTGTTAAAATTATTGTTATTATGAGTTTCTCTTTTGTTATAGTTGTTGTTCTAATCTGCTTGAATTTTCTGAAAGGAAAGATAAAAATAAGTTCAACAATATAAACAGGTCAGCCAGAAGACAGTCATGTAAATACAATAAATGTTGCCTCTTCTTATTAATAACCTTGAGCTTATTCTAAAATCAGCATTACAGTTCAAAAATAATTTTATTTAGGAAATTTATTTTGGAAAGTTTCCTTTGATCATATCAATCATGACAATCATCATCATTTAAGGTTGGGTCTGAACTTTTTTAGACAACTTATTGAACAAATAATTGTTAGGTGCGTAATAAACGGCAAACAATATACCAGGAGCAAGGAGCAAGACAGACATGGTTTCTGCCTTCTTAGATATTTAAGATCAAATCTGAAATGAATGTCTGAGAGCTGGATAATGCCTCTTCTGATAAGTGCAAGATGTGACTGTACAGTGACAACCTTAACTATCTCAAATGACAATTTTAAAGAAGAGATTTAAAACATTTTGAGTAATGTAAGCATCTCTGGAGTAACTCTCAAACTAATTTTTTCACATACTGTATGGTAATATACAGATCAAGCATTTTATGTATACTATTAACATTCTTCTTGGACCATAAAAATTGCACTGTTAAGTAATTGTGATGGCTAGTCTTGGTTGTCAACTTGACTGAATCTGGAATTAATTAAGGGCAAGGTAGCTGGGTAGACTTGTGATGATTATATAAAATCGTTTCAAATGGGAGGATCCACTTTTAATACTCATCTTTTGAGGTGGGAAGATATGCCTTTCATTCAGATGTTTTCTACTGGAAAGATCCACCATTAATCTGGGCCACACCCTCTGCTATCAGCCTATATAAGAGACATGGACGAAGGAAGCTTCCTTTGTCTTTTTGCTCTCCCCTTGCTAGCAAGTCCATTCTTACATTGGTGTCAGGCTTATGGTTTCAGGAATCTAGCATATACAATTCATGAACTGAACAACTACTAGATCATTGGACTTTGTATTGGTAGGTAGCCATTATTGGATTAGCTGGACCACACCTGCAAGACATTCTAATAAATTTCATTTATATAAATATGCATAGGAAAAGAATCTTCTTTCTAGCAGTCACAGAGCACAAGTTTCAGGAAATTCAATCAAAGCCATCATTTTAAATCTGGCTGAATTACAGCAGAAATTCAAGTCCCATCCTTGTAGGTTGGGTCAATGATCAAAACAAGAACATCAGTGGTAAAGAATGGACCCTGTGCCTTAGGATGTGTAAGAGGACTCCTGAAGCTGAGAACTTTGACTCCACAGATTCTCAAGGGTTTATCTCACCTGCGGAGACAGTCTCTCCGCTCTTAGTGTAAGATTTCTTTAAACTCCACCTTCTGAAACATTGCCTTTTCTGCCTTTTATTGAGAAAATTAACCCTTCATTGCCTGATAAATTAGCAGTGACTTTCTCTAGAAGGTGACAGGCAAGATAATACTGATGCCCCATAGGGCCCACCAATAGTTGCCTTTAGACTTATAACTAGACTTAAGGCAAAGCAGGTTTCTAGAGGTGAGGCAGAAATTGCAGTCTATGAGGAGATGTTCTACACCACTAAAGAAATTAATAGAGTTTGCTAATTCATTCAACTAGAAATTTGGATTATATGTGTGAGAATGCATTTTATGAGTGGGGATAATGGTGGAAGGAACATAAAATTGGATTGGGCTCATTTTGTGGATACAGACCCTCTGAGGGAGATTCTATGTTTAATAAGGAAATTCACACAGTTAAGAAAAGTGTCAACAGAATCAACTAAGCATCATGCACAGGGGCTTCACAGAGACTGAAACAATAATCAGGGAGCTTATAAGGGTCGGACCGAGGTTGGCTGCATATATATTATAGTTGTGTAGCTTGGTATTCTTGTGGGATTCTCAACAGTGGAAGTGACTGCTGTTTCTGACTCTTTTGCCTGCTTTTGGAATTCTTCTCCTGCTACGTTGTCTTGATCAGTCTTGATATGAGATATATTCCTAGTTTTACTGTAACTTTTGTCATGCTTTGTTGATACATCACAGGTCCAGAAGTGTTCTCTCTTCTGAAGAGCAATGGAATGTGTGAAGAGTGTGTCAGGGGGAGAGGGGAGATGGGAGATGGGAGGGAGGGATGAGAGAATAAGAGAGAGGGGAAATTGTGGTAGGGACATAATATATGAGAGAATAATAACTGACTAACTAACTAACTAACTAACTAAATAAATAAATAAATATGCCAAAAGCATGTTTGAATTGTTGGTTGAAGCATGTATCAAAAGATGGTCAATGGAATAGTTGACATTAGTTGACTTAGTGTTGATGAAAGCCCAGGAAAATTGCAGTATAAGGATGGATATGCTATGTAAGACTTCCACACTAGAAAGGCCCAGAAGATATGCCCTTCGTTAATCCTAAAACGCACAAAGTGGTGAGAGTGGCACCAGCACTTTTGAAAGGCAATGTGATCATAGTTATTGTAATGGCAGCATAGGCAAAGCAATGTTCATAATAACCTCATGTATAATCATCAGCCCAGCAAAGTGGGCTTTATTGCCCGCACGACTCATATGAATTCTGGTACAGGATAATCAATCACTGTGTTTCCAAGCATGAAATAGATAATAAGCCTAAAGCATTTTTGCTTTACCTATGTAAGTGGGCAAAATCTCAAGCAAATAAAAGAAATGCAACACTGAATCATGGGAAACTGGAATTTTGGATTATCAACCAATTCTAGACTGGAGTAAGTTTAGACCCAGAACTCTTAAATTAAGAGAAGGCAAGATTCCCTTGAGGAAGGACCTTGTTGTGAATTTTACTATTAATCTTTCTCCAGTATGACTCTAGAGTGACCTAAGGCTTTTTACAAGAGCAACTGTATAATAGAGGAAAGGAAACAATTGGTATGTCCACAATCTCTTATATACTGGTCCTAAACTGATGTAGATTTAAGGAGACCCTGGAAACACTGCGATGTTCCAGTTAAAGAAGAGCCTTATGGAGGCCAGATGATTAGTGGAGTTTTAGATGAAATCTGGCTCACAGTAGGTCCACTGGGTCACTGAACAAATTTTGTGGTTCTTTGAATCCCAGAATATACAACTGGGAAAGATATACTTAGAAGTTGAGAGAATTCTTACACTAGTTCTCTGACCTGCAGAATGAGGGCTATTATGACTGGAGAGGCCAAACAAGTGGTTCTCCACTTTCCAAATGCTGTGACTTTTCTATTCTATTCTATTCTATTCTATTCTATTCTATTCTATTCTATTCTATTCTATTCTATTCTATTCTATTCTATTCTATTCTATTCT